CCCCCCCCCCACTTACCAAGCTTCTGTTCTCTAGGGTTCTAATTTACATAGCAAAAGGAAGACCCAGAATCCGTGGTTAGAAATGTGTGTTTATGTGCGGTTGGTTCCCACTCTTATGGAGAATTCCACTCCTCTCAGCAAAGGCAGAGACAAATAGCTCTGTTTGGCCCCACTCTGGGACAGAGCCTCAGCACCTGGAGAGGACTCTCAGCTGATGAGACCCCACGGCCTACTACAAGTGGCCGTTACCTTGACTAAAGCTTGGAGACCATTCCTTCTACACCCCACCCCTTCTTCTGGCTCTTACATTCTTTCTGCCTCCCTGTTCCATGGTGATGCCTGAGCTTTGGAAGGGGTGTTATAAAGTTATTGCTTTCATCAAGAGCTGCGTGAGGGTGCTGCTGTGCCACAGCACAATACCTAGCACATTGGCAGCCACGTAGTCTTAGAATGGCACAAACATCAAGAGCACATGGCTTCAGTTACCGGGAAAGAGCCTAGTCAAAATGCATAAGCGTCACACACATCCAAAGTAGCTCCTTTTTGTCCTTTTTCTAGAACTGCAGTTGAACAAAGGGCATTTGCACTGAGCTAAATCCCTGACCCCTTTTTATCTTTTGTTTTTGACAAAGTCTTTGAAGTCACTGTGTTGCCCAAGCTGGCTTGAACATCTAATCATCCTGCCTCCATCTGGGATTACGGGCTTGTACACCACATCTGTCATGAATACCTACTGGTAAGTGCTTTGAAGTTCCTGTTATATTGTCCTCATTCTCTGGAAAATAAACACAACCTGTGCTTCCAGTGTGGCCCCAGGGGCATCCACAGGCAGTAGCCAGCGTGGCCATAGCCCTTCTGTTTTGCACCGTTTTCCAAATGTGCTTGGGACAGGCAGCTTTACTGGCTCCCATTTGGCCCAGCTTGATCTTGCAGCCTTTATTATCTGTATGCTCAGATGGAATTCTCCCAGTCTGGTGTGCAGGTTATGCCCCAGCTAGCACTTGCCAAGAATATTCTCTTCCAGGGAGCAAACATAAACATCCTGCTCCTTCAGAGGAGACAGCTCCTCACCTACTATAAGCTTTGTTCTCTTCACCTGTGACCATCTCGCAATCTAGATTCTCCAGTAGCAGTTCTGTTAGATTAGGTTCATGTTGCCTCGGGACAGACTTTTGCTTCTGAGAGAGTGCATTACAATAGTTATCACCAGGACCTATACAGAAGACCCTTCCTTTCCTTTACAACCTCCCCTCTCCGCTGACTTTTTGCTAGGCCTCACAGAAGTGACTGCAGCTTGATTTTGACAACTCTTCTGCTTTCCTTATATTTTCCTCTTATCCTGTGAGAGCTTCTCTGAAGGGATTTGTGCTTCATCATCCTGTAGTTACATTTGTCTTTGTCCCTCATTTCTGGGATGTTGTGCCAGCTGTTGATCTTGTCTAGTCCACATTGAAGGGGAAGAGTTGTGTTATTAAGAGTCTGTGCTATAAGGCCGGGGATTTGGCTCAGTGGTTTCGCCGCCTGCTGTGCAAGCAGAAGGATCTGAGTTCCATCTCCGGCACCAAAAAAAAAAAAAAAAAGAGTCTGTGTTATAACCCTGTAACCATGCATGAGCAGCAAGGAGGCTTAGGAGTTATTCTTGGGCTAAGTTTACCTGGAATCTGTCTGGTTTTTTTCTTTCTCATTTTTAATGAAAAACATCCAAAAAGTTTGACAATAGATTAGGAAAAGTTAAATTGCAGACACTAAGCTAGTTTGTAGTTTATTTTTCTTTTATTTGGTCCTTTGCTATAAAAATGCATATAGTTTTAAGGTCAATTAATTATTAGCTGTAATAAATATGCTAGTAGCTCATATGTTCTTTTCTTTTCTTTGTGTGAGGCAGACCTCGCTATGTAGTTCAGGCTGTCCTTGAACTCACTATGTAGTCCAGGCTGGCCTCAAACTTGTGGTGATTCTCCTGCCTCAGCCTCCCAAGTGCTGGGATTACAGGCATGAGCCACCACTCCTACCTTGTGTGTTGTTTTCAAATGAGAAATGTAGCAACCCTGAACCTCAGTTTTTCTCATGTTTACATAATGCAGATATTGTAAAGTGCTGATAAAGCCAGAAAAAAACCCACTTTTTATCTCACAAATGGCTGATACCAAAAACAAATGGCTGATACCAATATCTGCAACTATGAGGTATCTGTTGTAGGATGTTTTAAAAAGTGACTAACTGGTATAATAGTTCTCACCATAATTATTACATAGATAATGTTTGTTCTTTAGAAATTAGTATCTGATGAGGGCTAAGTTAAAAATAGTTTTCTCATACTCATTATATTTAGTAAATCAGTCTCAAGTACCTGTTCTCTGATAAACACTGGTTTAAGGCTTTTGCATATATAAATCTGCTTCCAGGGAGTCATTTTTAATATGAATTTTATAATGATTAGTAAGGGATGACCTCTGGC